GCATGCAGCAAATTTCGTACCCCCCCCCCTTTCCCAATCCCCCCCTTTCGCCCGACCCGAGACTATGGGGCAGGGGCGAGGAAAGCCGGCACCCACGCCACCCGGGGCGAGCGACGGGGGGGTCTCTCCCTCGTCGTGGCGCGTGGCCCCCTCCCTCTCGCTCGAGGCGTCCCCAGCCTCCGGCTCGGGGAGGCACCTCGTGGGCCTCCTCTGGCCGGAGGTGGCCCTCCCCTGGTGCTGGTGTCGCTCCTCCTCCCTCCGATCGGGGCCCCGCCCCCCCGCCCCAGCCCCCTCCCCCCCCCTCCTCCTCCTCCTCCTCCTCCTCCTCCTCCTCTCCTCCTCCTCTCCTCCGCCTCCTCTCCTCCTCCTCCTCCTCCTCCTCTCTCCTCCTCCTCCTCCCTCCTCCTCCTCCTCCCTCCTCCTCCTCTCCTCCTCCTCCTCCCCCCCCTTGCGTTGCCCCTGAGAGTTTGGGCTGCCGGCAGGGGTGGTGCCGCCCCCCCACACGGGCGCTCATTCAGAAGCGCGGGGCCTGGTCGAAGCGGATGCCTCTGGGGCGTGGAACATGGGAGGGCACATTGCGGTATCGGTGGTGCGAGGTGGGAGCTGTCTATCCTCCTCCTCCTGCTCCTCCTCCTCCTCCTCAGTCTCCCTCTCCCCATTCTGACCTCTGTTCCCCCGTGTGTTTCTGCTCCTGCTCCTGCTCCTGCTCCTACTGATCCTCTGCTTCCCTCTTCATTTCTCAAACTCCTTTGTCAGGGCGGGCCGGGCGTTTCGCCTGAGACTTCTTCGCCATGTCTGATCCTGAAGCTTGAAATTCGCACCAACTTCAACGATGGAGAGCGGCCCGTTTTCAAAATGTGGCTCTCGCCTCAGCAACGCTCACATTCGTCTTAAACATGCGCAACAGCTTCAAGGATGGAGGGTGATTACTTTTCGAAATGTGGCTCTCGCCTCAGCGCCGCGCACGTTCGTTTTCAAAGTTCGCAGCAACTTTGAGGATTCATCGGGTTGAAATCTCAGGAATGGCGTTCTGGCACGCAACAGTCACCTTGATTCGCGAAGTTGAAGTCCCAGGACTGGAGTTCTGGCACGATTTGGGATTGTCTGCAACATTCACGTTGAGTCGCGCTGTTGAAGTCCCAAGAAAGGTTTGGCACGATTGAGTTCTCTCAGACAATTGAAGTCCCGCAGTGATTACAAACTGGTGTGGAGAACTAATGAGGGACCTTGGGAGGAGGGCTTGTTGCGACATCGTTGATGCGTCTGGGGTTTACGCTGGTTCTCGTCCCCCTCCTGCTCTCCTTCCTCATTCTGCTCCCCTCCTCTCCCTCCCTTGACACCCTCACGAGCTGCCCCCACACCGTGGCGGGCCCCTGCAGCGACGACGCCGCTGGCGAGGACGACGGCCGCCGCCGCCGACGACGACGACGAAGACGACGGTGGCGGCGGAGACATCGACGCCAAAGTCGCCGATGGCGTCGACTCCGATGGCAGTACAGTCGAGGCGTTGACCTAAGGAACCCTAAATAAGGAACGAGGCCCCTTTGCTTCCATACATTAAATTTCGACTTCCCATCGACAACTTGAGGAAAACCTTCGGCAAGGTGCGGAACAGTGAAGGAACACCGAGCCCCTCCCCAACGAAAAGGGTTCCTTCTAGGAGGAGGCGGAGGAGGAACAGGGAGGAGGAGGAGGAGGAGGAGGAGGAGGAGGAACAGGGAGGAGGAGAAGAAGGAGGAGGAGGAGGAGGGGGAGGAAGAGGAGGAGGAGGAGGAGTACCGCGGACGATGACGACGACGCCGCCGCCGACGACGGCGGCAGCGCCCCGCGCAGCGAGCAGTCCTCCTCCTCGGAGAGCACCTCGTACGGCGGCGTGGGCGCTCCGACCTCGGGCGGGGCCCACCCCCTTCCTCCTCCATGGTCCCCAACCCCCCCTGCCTCCTCTCTTGTGCCGTCGTTCCTTCCTTCCCTCCTCCTCCTCCTCCTCCCTCCTCCTTCCGCCCCTCCTCCCTCCTCCTCTCCTCCCCTCCTCCTCCTCGACCTCCCTCCCTCCTCTCCTCCTCCCTCCTCCCTTCCCCTCCTCCTCCTCCTGGCTCGTACCCCTCTTCCTTCCTCCTCCTCCTCCCTCCTCCTCCTCCTCCTCCTCCTCTTCCTCATCGTTCTCCTCCCCCTCCCTCCTTTTCTTCATCCTTCTCCCCCTACCGCTGCGGTGGAGCTGGATCAGCTTCACTCACCAGCGCCTCCGATCGAATCCGAGGGCCCGTTGGTTGCTGATGACTGCTTATGCTGCGACTCTCAGTTCGCGCCCGCGAAAAGCGAAGGCAGAAAAGGTGTCTCCTCCTCCTCCCCCGTTCTCCCTTCTCCTCCTTCCACCTTCTCCCTTCCCTGATTCCTGTGCCCCTCCCTCCCTCCCCTCATCATCGCTCGGACGTCCATTCCCCATGCATTGTTCGGTTTCGTGCGTGATTGCTTCAGCAAGTTAATCCCAGATGCTCCTCGAAGGCCCTCGCCGAGAAAAATGCTCTCGTCCAAGCGATGCAAATCCTTCTCTCTCCCCTCATTCCTCCGATCCTCCCTCCGCTTCGCTGGCGTGGTGGCAGAACTTGCCGCAGTCAGCTTGATGTCACGATGACATCTTCCATCGCTGCTTCGCCCCGTCTCTTTTCGGAAGGGGGGGTCGAAGGGGGCTACTGAGCCCCCGGAGTGGGGGAGTTCTTTTTCCAGCCCCTCCTGTGTGGGGTTCTCGTTTGAAATAGAGCACTGCTTGCGCGGAATCCTCCTCCTCCTCCTCCTCCTCCTCCTCCTCCTCCTCCTCCTCCTCCTCCTCATCCTCCCGCTTCTCCCTCCGCCTGCCTCCTCCTGCACTGCTCCCTGGGTGGCTGCGAACTGCGCAGCTGTCGCCAGTTTCGTCGGCTCCTGGGAGGCACGCCGGAGTGGCGAAGTACCCGAGACCCTGCAGCTTCCTGGGCGGCTGCGAACTGCGCAGCTGTCGCCACTTTCGTGGGCTTCTGGGAGGCATGACGGAGTGGCGGAGTACCCGAGACCTCGCAGCTCCCTGGGTGGCAGCGAGCTGCGCAACTGTCGCCACTGTCGTGGGCTTCTGGGAGGCACGGCGGAGTAGCGGAGTACCCGAGACTTCGCAGCTCCGTCGGCGGCTGCGAGCTGCGCAACTGTCGCCGGTTTCGTCGGCTCCTGGGAGGCACGGCGGAGTAGCGGAGTACCCGATGCCTCGCAGCTCCCTGGGCGGCTGCGAACTGCTCGGCTGCCGCCACTTTCGCGGGCTCGGTGGCCATGCACACCCAGACGAGACCTCGCTGCTATCACCACGCTCGTGGGCTCCTGGAAGGTCCAGCGGCGCCGGGGCCGCGCGGACCCGGACGAGGCCTCGCTGCTCCGTGGGTGGCTTCGCATTGCGCAACTGTCCCCACTGTCGTGGGCTCCCGAGAGGTCCACCGGAGTCGGGGGCCACGCGGGCCCATTTGGGACCTCGCTGACCCCGGGAAGCTGCGAACTGCGCAATGATCACTTGAGCAAGGACCGACCGTCCCGGCATTCCCATAGTCCTACCACGAGATGCTCTTAGAACCCACATATGTTCTAAGAACCCAACCAGGGTTCTCAGAACATACGCCCGATGTGTTCAAAACGAGACAGTCCCAGCCAGAAATGTTCTAAGAACATGTCGTGGGAACCACAAGAGGTTCTCAGAACAGTGTTTGGTGGGGCTATAGGCGAGCCGGGACGCTCCGCCACTGCTTGAAGCTATCACCACTTTCGTGGGCTGCCGGGGAGTCCAGCGGGGTCGGGGGCCGGCCGCGCGCACCTCCCAAGCGAGGCCTCGCAGCTCTCCCTGGGTGGCTGCGAGCTGCGTGGCTGTCGCCACTGTCGTGGGAGGTCTGGGAACAAAAGCGAGGGCAAGCTTGCGAGCAGCGTCGGAGCAGCAGCGTCTCTTCGCGGGGGAGGGCTCTGCTGTGGCCTCTACCCCATTACGCTGGTGGTTGGGTCAATTGTCCAAAATCCAGGACCAACTTGGGAAACTATAATGCCGTGAAGGAAACGGGTCCTAGGGGAAACGGGTCCTGGACCCTGGAGACTTCTTCCGAGACCAACTCTTCATGCCGAGTTGTCTTTGACGGTCCCGGGGCCGTCAGGGGTAAGATGAGACAGGACAGGCGCCGAGGTGCGGACCCAGTCTCTACCTGCTGCAAATCAGAGAAGCTAACCCAAAGCTCCTGATAATAATCCCCTGGGGATAATAAAGTGCGGGGGGTTCGCGGGGATAATTGACGATTTTCCCGGGGAAGGTGATGTTATGATGATGATGATGATGATGATGATGATGATGATGATGATGATGATGATGATGATGATGATGATGATGATGATGATTTTTCACCAGTCCGAAGCTTTGCGGGTGTTCTGACGAGCAACGCGCTGGAAGTTAAACGACATGGGTCGTACTCCATCTGTCGAGTCACGTGGCCTGCGTACCTATACGTCCGTCTGGCGGCAACCACGTCGATAATGACGATGGTGATGATGAGAATGATGATGATGATGCTGCTGCTGCTGATGATAATGATGATCCTGGGCGCTCGTGTAAACTGAGTTTGTGCCGGGGGTTCGGCGGACAGCGACCACGACGACGACGACAGCGACGAGAACGAGGGGGAGGAGGACGATGACGACGAGGGTGGAAATGAGGGGTGAGGGGCGCCGCGGATGTCGTTCAAGTCCCTTCCACCCCGTGCGACTTCTGCCCGCAGCGGGGGGCCTGCCCGGGGCCCGGTGAGGGCCCTGGGGAAGCACGAACGTGGCCACAAGCTTCACCCCCCCCCCCGCGCAGTGTGCGCGCCACCCAATCCTCATATTTCAAGGGTGACGCCGCGACAAATGACTTCATGTCTGTCGTCGGCGCCCACAGGCCGCGCCGCGCGTGCCGCCGAACATTGCAACTGGGTGGCAGGGGTGGGGGGAGGGGGCAAATCTTGCTTAACTTTCGCGAGGGTTGCAGGACCCCTTTTCCTCAGGACCCCTTGCCCCCACGGCGAGGGGATAGTCTAAAGCCTAGTGGGCCCTGGAAACGACAAGGCCAGCCTTTTTCCAGTTCCGTTTTGCCGTCTTGTTGCCAGTTCCGACGCCTTCTTGTTGCCGGATCCGTCGCTGCTTGTTGCCGGCTCTGGCTCCGATTCCAATCCTGGAGCCGATATCTTGCCGTTTCCGGTCGCCGTTGTTTTGCCGTTTCCATTTTCAAAAGACACTTATTTTTTCGGAAACGGTGAACAAAAAACTGTGAAAACGACCCTGCCGTTTCCGAGGCCCACTGAAGTCCAGAGGTGGCTTAACGGGGGTCAGCACAGCATGCACGGCCTGGGTGAAACAAGACAGCGACGGCCGAGCGTGACGGCGACGAAGCCACCGAGGATGCCTGGCGTCCTCCGCGCCACCTTTGCCGCGATGTGGCCAGCGCAGTAAGGCCGTGCTACGTCCACACTGTGGAATGAGAACAATAGATTTGGACGCCCCGACATGGGTACGGAAAATGGGCACAATGCCCAACAACAAATGTTGCCCGAAACCGACAGCGGCCGCTGCTGGACAGGCGGCTCTCAGTCTTCAATGCACAACGTCCTCGGCGGACCCGACAGCGAGCCCTGTTCACAATGAGCAGGAACTGATGTTGGGCATCGTACGCAATCTTTCCGTACCCATGCCGATCGTCCCGACTCGAGTCAGAGGGGCCGCCACCTAGCGTCGACCGACGTCCACCGCGGCGCCGTATGGACAGTCCCAAGCCAGCGCAACGAAGCACCACGGGCGGGCCCGCCTGGGACTGGCGTAGCCCAACCGTTAGGCGGGACGTCGGCCCAGGCTGCGCCGGACGGCAGCAGTGCCACTTGAGTGCAGCCCTCGCTGCGCTGAGCCCGCCGCTCGGCAGGGCTTAAAAGAAAAACAAGAGCCAGTTTGAGCAGGGACCGACCGTCCCGGCAGTCCTATAGTCATACCACGACATGTTCTTAGAGCCCGAAAATGGTCTAAGAACAAGAACCATGTTCTTAGAACATGAGCCGGATGTGTTCAAAACGAGACAGTCCCAGCCAGAAATGGTCGAAGAACATTTCGTGCATACCACAAAAAGTTCTTCGAACATTGTTTGGTGGGGCTATAGGCGAGCCGGGACGCTCCGCCACTGTTTGACTGCTGGCGTCGCCGCGGGCGGCCTCGCGGGCCGGCGCGAGCGCGGACGCGCGCGCGCACCGCATGCAAGCCTGCGGCCCTCGCGCTCGGACTGAGACTGAATCTGAGCAGGGGCGGGTTAACTGCCCGCGTCCTGATGCGCCCAATGCGCGCCATAGATGATGGAGTCTTGGAGATAGGCACCAACGCCGACACAGGGGGATTGCCTCGACCGATGGGAGATTATCATATATGTTGATGTCAGTGGTGATGCTTCGGTCGCCCATGGGAAACCGAATATGACCACCTTCACCGAGATCGGGATCATCTTCCTTCGGTGGAGCCACACTGCCTATATGTGTGCTGATGTCACATCCAGGCAACGGGGGATACTCGCGCTGAGAGGCGTCAGCGATGAATCCCGCCCACTACTGTTTTACTCGGTCGCCATGCCGAACTCTGACAGTCCGCTCCTGCAATCACGTCCTTTTCGGCTATCTCGGTCGCCTGGTCGAACATTACGGAGCATCCGCTCCTGCGATCATGCCCTTCTCATCGGCCTCGGCCCCCTTGTCGAGCTCTACGATCCTGCGCGTGATTTGGATGGGCGGCTCGGGGATGGCGAAGGCAGTGGTCGTCGCGAGGCAGCACATCCATGCGGCGTCCATCACCTGGAGCACCTGCCACGGGAGGAATGGGTCGAAGCCGGTGCGCGCCTCAGACTTGTCCGCCGTCTTGCCCCCTGGCGCGCTGACGCGTGCTGGAGCGCCAGATTGCTGCCTGGCAGGGTCTTTGTGCACGTTGCCGGTCGGAAGAAGCCAGTCAAACATGAAGCAGGAAGGCGGGTCAAATAGATAATATATTGGGTCCAGGCCCTCCTAGAGGAATAACAACACACAGCAACCACATATCGACTCTTGAAGTATCGGCGGTGGACAAACCTCCCTTTAGTAAACCTCCCCTTAGGGAACACGGCCTGGGACCGAAACCGATGGACCTGGACCCGCAAAAAAATACGGCCGCGACGCTCTCTCGCGAACCGAACACGGCCAACTCACTAATCGACGTGTCAGGGTAGGCCGATCGACCCCCGAAAATACCTGCCTTCAGCGACCAGCGTGCACTCCAACTGGCCATCGCTCGGACGTCCATTCCATGTGTGTTTTTTGGTTCTGTGCGTGGCTTTTTCGCCAAATGATCAAGGATGCTCCTCGAGGGTCCTCGCCGAGAAAAAAATGCACAAGTCCGAGCGATGCCAAGCCATAGTGGAACAAAAAGTGGCATAAACATAACAACTCGGAGGTCCGCGCGGATTTCTCGGATCCGCGCTGGGGCCCCCCGGCGGCGCCTCCGGCGCCCGGCCCTGGCGCGCTCATCGCGCCAGGGAGGGGGGTCCAGCGCCGATCCGAGAAGTCCGCGCGGACCTCCGAGTTTTTATGTCTATGCCACTTTTTGTTCCCCTACATCAATCATGGGGGCGTCAGAAGCCAGGGCCCCCCCCCGTGCCCCCAACAAAAAACCCGACCCCCCACCCCCTCCCAGAAGAACCTGCGGGGTTCCGACCTCCCCCCCCTCCCCCCTCCCCCGGGACAAATGACGGAGGGTTCCGGCCCGTTCCCCCCCTCTCCGGAGAGTTGCCCCCCCCCCCTCCCACCGGGAGAATCGGAGAAATTATATTGGAGTGCTCCAGGATCCCCCCCCCCCAGCCTTCCGCAAGGACGACGGCGACGGCGGCGGCGACGGCGACGGCGCGGAGACGACGACGACGACGACGACGACGACGTCAACGACGACGACGACGACGACGACGACGACGACGACGACGACGACGACGACGACGAGCGCACCTGTCGCCAACGCAAGCGCCAGGCGCCCGCTCTGATGGAATGCTGCCAGGGCTCGATTCGATCAATCACTCTCAGTGTTCTACCAAGGTCCTGGTGCTCGACCCTGCTCTACCCTGCTCTACGCTCCTCTGCTAGACTCTCCCTTACTCTAGTCTACCCTGGTCTACTCTGCCCAACCGCACCCTGACATGATCTACTCGACTCCACTTTGCTCCTGCTCTACTTTACTCTACTACTCGATTGTGTTCTACTCGACTCTACTCTACTCAACTCGACTCTACTCTCCCTCCTCTACTCTTATGTACTCTGCCCTACTCTACTCTACCCTACTTCATGATACTCGGTGTACCTCTAATCTACTGTGCTCCTACTCTGCCCTACTCCACTCTACTCCTACTCTATCCGGCACTACTCTATTCTGCCATATTTCTGCCCTACTCCACTCATCTGCCCTTCTCTACTCGACCCTATTTCCCCTTCTCTACTGTACTCTTCTCTACTCTACCCTACTGCACCCAACAGACTCTACTCTACTCTACGTTGTTCTTCCTCTAGTCCACTCCACAAATTCTCTACTTGATCACCCTCTCCTCTCCTCTCTTCTACTATACCCTACTCTTGTCTGCCATACTCTACCTTACCCGCCTCCTACCGTACACGCACATGATCTGCTCTACTCTACTATGCTCCTCCGCTACTCTTCTCTATTGTGTTCTCTGCGCAAGTTTGGAGGGGATGATGGAGAGCGAACACAACAGACGATGCCGCGAACGGCGACGCAATCGTGAAGCCAAGCAGCTACCTCGAACGCTGTGTGCCAGGATGGGATGAGGAGTCCATCCACGTGGACCGAATTTCATGCGAGAGATGGCTTCTACCAGTACTCTCTTAGCGGCTGCAGAAGGGGTGAAACACTGTGGATCGAGGGAGACGTGCTCCCCATATGGTCCATCCGACAACTTGTACAACGAAGCCTCACCTAGACAGTCCCGAAGGGATAACACACAGCGCATAAATGTTCAAGTCTGTGCGACGGTGCGCACGATAGAAAGCAAGCCCCAAATAAAAACGAAACGCACTGGAATGACAAGGCCCTCCTCCCAGCTCAGAGGATCTGCGTGCGGGGCGTTCCAAAGAAATCGAGACAAACAGGGACTGCACCCCGATGGCAACCGAAAGATAGCATCGTGAATGAAGCAGTCCACGCGGCCACGCCGTGTGAATGTGGCAAGCCACCGAAAGCATTGAGGGCCAGCAGCGACTCCCTGGAGGGAGCGGCCGACAGACCCGGGCGGCACTCTGGTGCGCAGCCAGAGCGCGCGCGCCCCTTCTCCCGCGGGAGCGGCCACCCGGGCGCACACCCCGCGCCACGAGCCCGAGCGAGGGGGGGGTGACGAGGACGGGCACGGGACGGAGGAAAGGAGGGGAGAAGGGTGACTGCACGCGGAGACACCTCGAAAGAAGACCTCCGCAGCCGGCGCAGACACCTCGAAAGAAGAGCGGCACCCTGAGACGAAGAGAAAGGGGGGGGGGCGGCGGGGGAGGCGGGGGACGGAGGGCGAGAGGGGAGGAGGGCGGCTGCACGCTCAAACCTGGCGTTCGGGGCCTCCACGGCCGCAGACTCACCTGCAGGCGGAAGCCCGCGCGGTCCAATCGGGAGGGGTCGGGAAGGAGGAAAGGGCGCGGCGGCAGCCAGACGGCGGCAGAATCGGAGAGGAGAGGTTGGCCAGCCAGGCAATGCACAACCGGGTGGAAACCCCAAAGCGACAAACAAGTACGAATCTCGATCCGACGTTTCGAATCCAAAAGAGGGAAAGCGCCCGAAGAGGCCCACCAGCAGGCAGCAACGAGGAAGCGGGCGCGGCCCCACGCCGTGGCCAGGCAACGAAGAGAACCCCACACATCCGCAAGCGGGCGCGCATGGTCTCCCAGCCGCGCCGCCCACGGCCAAGCAGAGCCCCCGAGGGAGGGTGGGGGCGGCCCACGCGGAGGAGGAGCGGGAAAGGAAAGACGAACGACCCCGACGACTGGGAAACGACGAGGACGACAGCAGAGATGACCTCACGCTCCAACCCAACAACATGAGACATTCCAAGATCGCGGAGTCACCCTGCGGACTCCGATGGGAAGTGCAGCTTGCCACAAACTCTGCCTGACCACCGGCCGCGAACGCAGCCTCGCAATGCACGGCTTCGACTCTGAGCGCGCGACTGGAAAACAAAAAAACACCTACGAAGGAGGGCGAAGGGAGGCAGGGATGCGGCGGAGGACGGGGGGATGCGAACGAGGGGGGGGGAGCGAACAATCGCCCTCTCGAGGGGCCTGGCGACGGGACGTCTCCCGCGGAACCGCGGGGCCGTTCCTCCACCCAGCCAGGGCGCGAAGCCTCGCGCACTCCAGGGGTAGAACAAATCGAGATGCAGAGGTGGCGTTAAGATCTAAAAAAATTGCCCGAGAGTCGCCCGCGGCGCGTTCGCGCAGGCGGCGGGGCTGCGGCCCGCGACGTGTCTGTGCCAGCAGTGGCTCAGGCACGCGGTGGCCGTCAGAAGCGCCCGGCGCCGCAGCTCGAGAACCGTTTGCTCGCTGCGGGGCGGCGCCAAGAGCAAAAACCTGGCGAGCCGTGCGTTCCGCGAATCTGGCCGGGTCAGCCCCAGCATGTCGGCCGCCGCCGTGGCGACGCAGGGGCAGTCTGCGCAGTGCTCCACAGAGTCCCCGCCGCCCGCGCACCCAGAGCAGCAGCCCGCGCGCTGCTGAAACAGCCCAGCCGTTCCAGAGCGTCCGCGGGCGCGCGGCCAACGCCCTCGGGGGCACTCGCCCCGCCACGGCGGGATACGCGTTCAAGGCACGACTGGTCACCTCCTCCGCTGGCAGGCCACAAGACCAGCGCGACAACCGATGCCGCAATTAACGCGCCAGGGGCGCGGCCCTGTCGGGCGCGACCATGCGCGCACGCGCGCTGCCACGCTCTCTTCAGGCGCAGCGGGTCGGACATGCCGACTGCCCATGCTACCTGGCAGCACCTGGCGCGGGCCAGTCGCGCGTTGCTGGAAGTCGTTCTGGGCCGAGCCCATGCGCGGGAGGAGCGAGCTGCCGAGAAAACGGTTCCAGCGCCCCGGGCGCGCGAGAGGCGCCGTGGCGTGCAGCCGCGCCGCGCGCAGCACCGCTGCCCTGGCGGCCACGCGCAAGCCCCCCCCCGCGCCGCCGCTTCACTTTTTTGATTCGCGGCCCGCAAGGGAAAGTCCAGAGGGCGGTCAGAACGAGGCTGGGGCACAGCGCGCGATGATTAGCGTGAGAACGCGTGGAATGCACATGCAAGACAAGCCGCCGCTTCTCACGGAGTACGCGCAGTGCTTGGCCAGCAGCGCTGCCGTGGGCAATCCAGGGCGGCGCGCGGGGAAGCCCACGACAGGGAGGCCGCGCAGGGCGGCTGCGGGCGCCCACTGGCCGGCCACGACGAACGAGGATTGCAGCGCAGCGCCCTCCAGCTGCCCCCAGCTCGACGGCGGCGCGTCAAGCAGCGCGAGGAAGCTCCTGGTGGAGAATACGTGCATTGAATGCCTAATAGTGTCGGCGAGCATGCCGGCTCTTGGGTGGCCCAACTCGCGGGCTCTGCGGAGTTATTTTTGGCGGCGAGCAAAAGGGGGTAGTGGGAGGGGGGAAGGCTTCTTAGAAGGAGGCTGCTTCTTAGAAGGCGCCGGCCTTGCATCTGCAGAGAAGGCCCGCACCTTCTGAGAAGCAGGGGTGCTTCTAAGAAGCCTTCCCCCCTCCCCCTACCCCCCTCTGCGCGCTGCCAATATTTGGCGCCGGCATCGCCCCAGCCTTGTTCTCCTCGCCCTGGGCCGAGGAGGAAGCCGAGGTTCTTGGCCCTGCGAGCGAATCGCA